AATGTCAACTTTGAAACTATTAAAGGTGATCATGACCAATTTACATTCTCAACTCAGTTGACAAAGCCAAAATTATCTTAGTGTATACCTTATAAGGCCATCAAGAAGACAAACAGACCAACATAAATGGTAAAAAAAAATTATTGAAAATTTATAGGACAAGCTGACTTATGAACTATTGGAGGACAGATGCATAATATGATGTCACTGTAAACAACTTATTTCTTTTTATCATATATAAAAGTAGATTTTGATGTCATCTGGGATCAATTGCTGAGCAGACGCACAGCAAGATGGAATCTGTTAGCTAATTACCCATGGTTCATTACTAACGATGATACTTACACATGTAAGTCTTCAAGAAATGGTGAAAAATCTGTACTAGAAAAACTTGACAATGAGTTGATGTTATTGTTTTCCAGATGCCTTATAACAAATGAAATGTGAAAAAGAAAATTAAAACTGAAATTGAAAGTGGATCTGACTAATTGGCCATAAATATCAATGTGGATAATGATATGGAGATCATAAAGGACATAACCATGAACATTATGTGGACTCGACTGTTGACATGGTTAAAGATATGGAGACCAACATGACCATGAATTCACACTTTCATGTAGGGGTGGACATGTCTGAATGACAACATAGCAGTGGAAAAGCAATAATTTTTATACTACAGGTCAAAGGATTCTGGTTCAAGCTCAAGCACAGTCACAGAATTACTGAACTAGACCTAGTTTTAGATATGGACTTGAAGTTGACATAAGAATGGACGAAGACATCCATACAGTTGTAGAACAACTTCTGCCTGTCAATATAGAAAGATTTACCCTCCTCACTGGAGTTCCACCAACCATGGCTAGACAGATTACTCTCACTTATGACTTGCCAATGAATCACCCTAGGTTAGATCAGCTATATTCAGAGAGCCACTAGTAGGCATTCGCCGTTATGCATGGAAAGACACTCTTAATTTAAGTACCATCTTTATGCTGTGATAAATTATACAAAAATAACATAGATATAAATTGAAAAACATGGTACTCACAAATATTTAAGGTAGGGTAATGATTGTGATGTTTGCGACAAAGCTGGATGGGGAAAATTTGTCAAAAGGTTGTCATTCAACCATCTGAAATATTCAAACAAGAAATAATATATGAATCAAAATGGTAGCTTATAAGTGCCACTCAGTGGGATGTGAGCTTTTCACAAGTACAGGGTATACGGGTTTTCATTTTTTCCTCACTTTCATGGTATTTTCCAAACATAAAAGGTGACAAAAATAAAATAAATTGAACCAAAATTTATGTAAGTATATAACACTTAGCATAAAGTTTGGTATTTTATATAAACTGTCTGCAGGTGCTACATAATGTAAAATCTCAGCATTTGCACTTTTAAAGTTCAATCGAATCTTTGTGTAGGTGTGAAGTAGTACTTAATTTTTTCACTCAACTTACAGATCTTCCAGAGCAGGGAGGTCCTTGAAGGCATTAAACATAACATGTTCTGTTTGGTAGGGACTTTGCTGTTGCATTAAAATTCTGAAATATAATGAAGCACACAAACAGTGACCAGTTGTGAATTAAAGTTGTTTAAAATTACTCTTAAAGAATATAACCTTAATTTTCCCACAGAGATTTTTGAAACCGGCCTGAATTTTTACCTGAAGGCATCTTTCACCCTCTGTTGGGAATTCACAACTCAAATGTAAATGCATGAACAGCACTGCTACAGTCTGTGTACTATGCAGAGACTGTGACAGAGGAAAGGCAGGTTTTGATATTCACAAACAAGTAAAAGCTACTTTGGTGTCAAGAACCAACATTTAGGTATCATCTTTCCACCATGGCCAAGGTTTATGTGTCATCAACAAGAAACTATTTAGTGCAAATTTTTGTAGTTCAACAAATTAGAATTATTATCATCATGGTGCTGGAAATGTTTAGTCTTTGTATTGTCGCAACAATGCGTTGTGACATCAATGTGTCACCTCTTAATTTCAAGTCATGTCTACTTACAACACTTTCAGTTTTGGAAGACTATCAAATGGACTGCTGTAGCCTTCAGCTGTTATAGTTTTCAGTCTGTTCCCTCTGAGATCACTGCAGAGATTCACATGCAACAAAAACCATAGACTGCATAACTTCGTTCTCAATGATTTTGCTACCAATTAGCTAACTTACAACTTACGATCAGATCTCACAAATATGTCAGGATATACCAGAGATGTCCATATCCCTTCTGATAAAAAAAAACAAACAAACAAAATAAAGCCAGCATGCTACAAGTGCTGTTGGCACATGCCTCAGGGAAGATCTACGCTCACATGCTATCGTTACGAAGTCCGCAGTGATTAAAAGTGAAGATCTCGAAGGTCCTATTTCCCATATCTGAGAGCAGGAACCGATGTAAACCCCACATAAAGATGTCAAAGCACTCCAGTGAGTTATTGTGCCCCCTGAGAAGGGTCTCACGCTTAAATGAAAAACAGCAGTAGATATACACAAAAAAATTCAAATGGGTATGTTAAACAGCTATGAAGCAGAGAATATATGATTGTCCTTTGCCAAAGGAGTGGCATAAAATGGTGAGCATTGAGCAAAAACAGCACACTAGAAACACTCTCCAAAAGTGGGAGTTTTCCATATAAAGTAGAAAGGATGTGGTCTCTGTACAAAAATTCATGTCTTTAAGTATGAACGCTTACAGATGCAGCAGCTCTGGTATTTCATAGAACACCTTAGTTGCAATGGTTTCCAGGTGATTCACATGTAACTCACTACAATAAAGAGGTTGCATAATTAGTTCTGTTATTCATTTCTAGAAAAAGGGATGGTACAAATGAGGGACTATAGATATATGTATGCCTCACAAAACTTTCAAAGAATCTACAGAGGTGGTCAAATACCTCAACTTTTTGAAAATTTTTTCTTAGGATTTCACTTCAAGAGACTTCACTTTCAAAAAACTTACTTCAAAACTGCTGCATACAGTTTTTTTTATTGTGTATGCTAGATTGGTAATGACAAATGTAGCTTTGACTGAATATTAAACAGGTTTCTATCAAACAGATAAATCTTCTTCAAACACACATTTGAATTCTTCAGTTACTTTCTCACCTTCAATGGATACAAAGATACCTGGTAGCAGTTTCAGTGTCTTATAAAATTATTGTGTCTAAAGTCCTGGGTACTTTTCTCATCTTCTTTTAGTGAACATTACTGCAAGAAGGCCTGGTCACTTCATCTTGTAATTACAGAGGTGTTTGCTAAAACTTTTCTCCACTTTGGCATTAGATGCTGCATACCACTAATGATTTACAACTTTAAAGAGGGAGCAATCAAAATGAAAAACTCTATATCTACTTACAGAACTTTAAGGTGAATCAAGTTGGAGAATGCCCCAGTTGATATAGCAGAGATGTGGTTGTTGCTTGCATTCCTACAATAAATTCACAAAGACATGAAATTCTGCTTTGCTTTTTCTTTACTTATTTTTGTCTCAGGTGCTTCTAAAAGGCTGGTGGTTCTATCATCTAATTAGATCCATAACAGTACCACAAAGTTGCCTGTTAAACTTTAGGAAAAGACTTGGAAGGGGACGGGGGCGAGGTTACACAAGAGAAAGATATGGGTGATAAGGAGGGCAGATGCTAGTTAAATTATATAGCATTATGTATGCCAATTCTCCAAGACTAGTTTATGAGGGGCACGTTAAAACTTGCAGCCTCCCTTACAGTTCACTAAATCCTCTCTTATAAATTATGCAAATTTTATTAAGAGAGGAAATCAAGTAAATTTCATTTTCATTTAAAAGAATTGAGCAAGTTTTTATTTCCAGGATGGCTGCCTCTTATGAATTTTGGTGATTTTCTCTTTCTTTCTTTAATTTTGGACCACCGGTACTTCATGCATCTACGCCACTTTATGCCTTTTGAACAGAGATTGAAAAAAACACGTTGAAGTATCAACTGGATGAATGTCTTTCTAGGATACAAGCTTTTTGCAAAAAAAAACCAAAAAAAACAATACCATCTATCGGATGGTGGATAGCTCCATCCAACTTTTAAAAGCATTTCCAGCAAAATTTTCTTAATTCAAATGTTATGAACTCAAATTTAAACCTTTGGATTAAGGATACTGTAACAGAAGTTATCACTGTTGTAAAGGAACATTTATCAAATAGTCTGCATTATAAGTGATTGGCTGAAAGAAACCTACAGATGAACAAGTGCAGAGTCATTTCCAAAGAAGGGTTGCATGTTTGGAACTGAAAGGCGGCCAATCTCATTCTGATCAACTGACCTGCCAGCAAAAAAAATACATTTAATTTAATTACTAAAAAAAAATGAATTCACTTCAAAATCAACAAAAAGAAGAAATTTCATTATTAGTTTTCACAACAAATAATACTCACAGGTAACGCAGTGAGCGGCAGTTTATGAAGGAATCTGAAGGAAACTTTTTCAACTTGTTCTTGCTTAATGCTCTGTCAAAAGTGCAACAGAAATACACCTATCAATTGTTTGCTAGCATGTTACAAAGTGTGGGTAGATTTGTTTTCATATGCATTTAATGCTAAGAATCCAACATTAATCATTATCAATTAACAGAATCAACAAAGTATGGCAGGTAGATAAAAAATGTAAGGAATTTTGAAAAAACAGATTGATAATTTACAGGATGACAAACAAAGCTTTTAAACATTCATCAGAGGATGATAACAAGACATTGATTTGTCTTGTCCTAATAAAGCACTCTTACCAACAGATATACTTACATGTATTCCAGTTGAGGCAAATCAAACCATTCATTTGGAATCCAGTCTATCAGATTGTCAATCAAAATACTGAAAGTAAAAAGAACAGACAAAGACAATTTACCTTTCAAATTTCTTCAAGATAAACTGCCATATCTTAGATGAGTCCAAAAAAACTCATAGAAAAAAAGCACAATGGATTCTACCCATAGGTTGCAATCGCTATATGTCTCATGTTATAATGACAAATTTTTTTTTTGAGGATTTGTACCAAGTACAGGAGCAGAAACAATAGGACATGGGTCCCCTACGAGGTTTAAGCTCCAACAAACCCACCCATCCCACCCCAGGGGAGGACATCCATCACACAGTAATCTCATGCGTGGGAAATTAACGTCTCCAACCCCTAACCCTGCAGGAGACGGGACCTCCATTTATTCGTCCCTATCCAAGAAGACTAGAATATCTGACAATTTCTTGATGTTATGGAAAGGTAGCATCTTCTTCTCAATTATTTTAAGACCTTGAGTGTTGGTCCGGCTGGGGCTCGAACCCTCAACCTTCCCCACAACAGTCCAGCGCTCTATCCATTGAGCTAACCGGCAGGCGGTTAGCTCAATGTACCATTTAAAAATACCATCTTGGCCTCTTTGTTCGGCAAACTACTGTTTAGTAATTTTTACACCTTGTCAACCCGATCAGTACTTACATTCTTTTCAAGGCCTTTGGGAAGCTGGTGAAGTTGTGGCTGAACAACTGAATTTTATTTGCATACAAATCACTATTAAAAGAAAGAGAAGCAAAAGGGTACAAGATATATGTGACAACATTCACAATAAAAGAAATGTTGAATCCCCTATTTGTGATTAAAGACAAACAAATGTTCTGTCATACATACATTACAAAATGAGAAATACTAGCAAGGAATTGAAACCATACAAAATGTCACATGTTATTTAAGTCATAACAATGAACAAAAGAAAAAAATTTGCATATACAAAGATGCAAACTAATACAGATAAAGCTTATCACTGCTGACATTATCGTTTAGAGTTGGTTTAAGCTCTTGAATTATAAGAGTCTCCTTCATCTTGCAATGAGTATCAGAACGACCTTTTGTTTATATCTCAATTGCAAAGTGGTCCAATTTCATGTTGTGACCAGTTGACGTGACTTGGTTCGCGATAGCAGATGTATGACAGGCACTTCTAAGCCCTTTAAAATGTTCAGTTTTTCTTTCGTGCAATCTACGTTTTGTTTTTCCAATGTAAAAATGTGGGCAGTTCCAACAACTAGCCTTATAAACAACCTTTGACATTTGGGAATGGTTGATCTTATCTTTGTATGGAACAGTGACTTGATGTGATGAACGCTCTGAAAAATCACCCTAAGATCAATGCAACCATAAAATCTATTAATGCAGGTCTTGAGCTCTTTTGTAACTACTTTTCTTTGCATCCCTAAAAAAGGTAAAACTAAGATTGTTTTCTTTTTGGGAACTGTGGTGGTTGGAGTAATCGGTCTGTTTTGCTGTCTGTTCAGAACATCATTGATGTTGTAATTTACTACCCCAGGAAGATAACAATTCTGTAGCAACAACTTCCTCAGTTCACTCAGACAGGATCGCAAAAGAGAAGGTGACAAACAGATGCGAAAGCAACGAAAAGTGAGTGTGCGGATTAGGTTTACTTTGTATTTTCTAGGTGTGAAGGAATCCAATTTTGTGTACAGCCCGGTAAATGTCTTCTTTCGGTAAATAGATGTCGAGAAAGTGTGATCGTGTCATTTGATGAGAATGTCCAAGTAAGGGATTAATTGTACTGTTCTCTTCAAATTCAACGGTGAATTTGATATTTGTGTGACAGTTACTGAGGTAGTGAAGAAACTGGGTTGCTGTGACTTTATTGTCGAATAAGGTGAAGGTATCATCGACGCATCGAAACCAAACTGTAGGGCGAGCGTTGTTGCTGAGGACCCATTTCTCAGGACGATACAAAACGTGGACCCCCCGTTCTGCCGGACCTCCTTCTGGACCCCCATTGGGATCCCCTTCTGGACCCCCTAACTAGATTAAGAAAGGATGAAAACAATAAGTACCTGGTGCGACTTAGGAGGTCGTCCTCAAAATGGCATTTCATGCTACAATCATTTGCCTTAATCTTCAAAAAGTGCTACTAGAAATGTTGATTCTCCCGGCTGTGTGCAATCGTGGGTGCCATTTTGTTTATAAGTTAAAGTGGGGACCTCGGCACAAGGCTACAAAACTTCCGCTGTTTCCTCTGATCGGCTGCTCTAATCAGATTTTTCCCGCCATTTTGATTGGATCATTTGGTCTTTGGCTTGCACCGCTGACCAAAAAAATTGTGGTCATTCATACACCGAGCTCTATGGTGGAATGTCGAAGGTAGGTCTGTGATTCTTTCGCAATTTGTATGCAATCTCGACATTCCTGAAGTCATCGATAAACAATCACGAAATTTTCTTGCCAAACAATCACACACCTTACCTTCAACATTCCACCATAGAGCGATCCCATAGAGCTCCGTATATGGTGACCACAATTTTTTTGGCGAGCGGTGGTAGCAAAGGACATGAGATGATACAATCAGAATGGCGAAATAATCTGATCGGTCGGTCAGAGTAAAAGACCGTAAGTTTTGTAGCCTTGTGCCGAGATACCTACTCTAACCTAGAAACTAAATGGATTCCACAATAGCAAACGGGAGAATTAACATTTCTAGTGGCACTTTTGAAGATTCAGCCAAATGTTTGTATCATGAAATGCCACTTTAATGGCCACCTCCTAAGTCGTACCAGGTATTTATTGTATTCATCCTTTCTTAGGGCCTGTTTACATGAGTGAGGGTGCCCCTACATAGTAGGGTTACCCTAGCTAGTAGGGTGACCCTTCTCTATTGTAATTATACTGCGTGTTTACATGTGAGGTAGGATGACCCTAGGGGTAGGGTTACCCTACCTGAAAGGTAGGGTGACCCTACTGTGTAGGGACGAGTTTTGCCGCCATTAGCCCATGTAAACGCAAAACCTAGGGCTATCCCTAGGGGTAGAGCTATGTCCAGTCATACCGCTGACACACAGCGCAGGCATCTCAGCGAAACAAAATGGCGGACAGTGGAACAGCATCCACAGCTAGTGTTAGCTACAAAACAGGTGAAATGTTATATTGGGCTGAAATGTGCTGGCTAGCCAGTTGTAAACGCTGTCTTTCAGCCATTAGAGATATCAACAACAAAGCACAAAGTTGAAAAGAAGGAACTAAAGAAGCGAGTGCCGTAAGAATCGAATTAACCGCCAAAACTTTATCTCCCGCCGTCATTTTGGTTGTTTTCCTTGCTGGGTGACCTGGCTATAGTGTCAGCCCTCGCCCCTAGGGTTTCAAATTACCATGTAAACGCTCGGTATCTTCAACCCTACCAAGTAGGATAACCCTATCCCCTAGGGGCACCCTCTTCCCATGTAAACAGGGCCTAAATCTAGTTAGAGGGGTCCAGAAAGGGGGTCCACGTTTTGTACCGTCCCCTATTTCTCTTCAAAGTGACACATAAAGATGTTGGCCAAAATAGGACCTAAAGGAGAGCCCATAGCCACGCCGTCAATTTGGTCGTAGTATTGACCATTAAATATGAAGCTGCTCTTCTTTGTAGCAAACTCAAGCAGAACTTTTAAGACTGAGCGGGGCATTGTTGGGGGATCAGAGAGAGTATACAATTTGTCTAGACAAATTTGTATTGTTTCATCTAGCAGAACGTTTGTGAACAAAGAACTAACCTCAAACAAGCACACGATTTCATTGTTATGGTTATGTGTCTTGAAAGAGTCCTTGACCTTCACCTTATTCGACAATAAAATCACAGCAACCCAGTTTCTTCACTACCTCAATAACTGTCACACAAATATCAAATTCACTGTTGAATTTGAAGAGAACAGTACAATTAATCCCTTACTTGGACATTCTCATCAAACGACACGATCACACTTTCTCGACATCTATTTACCGAAAGAAGACATTTACCGGCTCGTACACAAAATTGGATTCCTTCACACCTAGAAAGTACAAAGTAAACCTAATCCGCACACTCACTTTTCGTTGCTTTTGGATCTGTTGGTCACCTTTGAATTCTCCTCTGCGATCCTGTCTGAGTGAACTGAGGAAGTTGTTGCTACAGAATGGTTATCTTGCTGGGGTAGTAAATTACAACATCAATGATGTTCTGAACTGACAGCAAAACAGACTGATTAATCCAACCACCACAGTTCCCAAATAGAAAACAATCTTAGTTTTACCTTTTTTAGGGATGCAAAGTAAAATTGTTACCAAACAGCTTAAGACCTGCATTAATAGATTTTATGGTTGCATTGATCTTAGGGTGATTTTTCAGAGCGCTTATCGCATCAAGTCCTCTTTTCCGTACAAAGATAAGATCAACCGTTCCCAAATATCAAAGGTTGTTTATAAGGCTAGTTGTTGGGACTCCCCGCATTTTTACATTGGAAAAACAAAACGTGGATTGCATGACAGAAAAACTGAACATTTTAAAGGGCTCACAAGTGCCTGTCATACATCTGCTATCGTGAACCACGTCACGTCAACTGGACACAACATGAGATTGGACCACTTTGAGATATTAGACAAAAGGTCGTTCTGATACTCATTGCAAGATAAAGGAGACTATTAATTCAAGAACTTAAACCTACTCTAAACGATAATGTCAGCAGCGATAAGCTTTATCTGTATTAGTTTGCATCTTTGTATATGTAATGTTTTTTTTCTTTTGTTCATTGTTATGTTAATTAGTTAGTTATTTAAGTCTGTATATTTTTTTTCTCAACAAGTACAGGAAGAATACAAAAATTTCAACCTTCAATTAAAAGAATATACTACAAATGATTTCAAACAACATTGATTTCATGTAAAGATCAATTCCAGAAAGAAATTATTCTTATACACAAGTACTAAGCTATGGTTGTTTACCATAAGAACATAAACTAACCATCAAGATTAAAGCAAAATTTGTAGAGGCACTTTTTTTCCATTATCAAAGGGAGGCTTTTGTAAAATGCTTGATACAAATGATGACACTTTAAGAGTGACTTACAGTTCTTCCAGGAGAGAATTCTTGGATATGTCTGGAAAGTCAGTTAGTTCATTCTGTGCCAAATTTCTGAAGAGTAATTAAATAGTCAAGTAATTGTAAGTGTGCTAATGAAGATTCTGGTTAAAGGAATTCTATTTTGTCCACAATGGGAATCTGGGGGTTTCCTACACTCATCTGAATCTTTCAAGCTTAAGTCAGTCAGCGAGTCAATTTTCTCGGTCGGTTTGTTTTTGATATAATTGGTTTTTTTTTCCTTTTAGGGGGGAAGGTGGGAGAGGGGGTCAAGGAAGAAGTGCATATGTTCATTCTAACTGTTGTCTTTCTAACTATGCCTGCATCAGGTAGTGAAAAATGTCGTTAGCAAAAGATAGCTAGCAAATCAAATTGCTCCAATCACTAACTGAAGATAACTGAATGTGAACATACTGGTCGCTGTTTTGTCACAGATTGGTCTCTAGACTATTCCAGTGTTCAACTACGCCATTACCAGTGATTCTGACAAATATGGTTTAAGTTTCAGTTTTAATTAACAACAAGCTTAGTAAATGCTTATTAGATATCATTCCAGGAACATGAAACAATAAGAATTGCTATTTATAGATGAAGATTGTAATAACAGTGTGGGGTTCTTGCTAAAGTTTCTATTTTGGCCTGCAGCATCCTGAGAATTGTACTGCTTAATGATAATAATTCATGCTTCTTGATTCCCTTAACGAACAAAAACCATTTATGAAAAGCCTACATATGTATAGTCAAGTTGAGAAGAGTCCATGTAAACTAGCTGTGGCATACTTACAGCTTTTTTAGGCCTGTCAGATTGTGGAAAGCTGTGGCATTTACATACTTCAAGCCAGACTCAAAAATTGTACTGCAAACAATAAAAAGACAATTATACTGTTTCTGAAGACAGATTAAATTTTCCCTTTTGTGTTGTCTTCTTTACACAAATGGGCAATGATTTTAAGTTATGTATAAATTCTTTTTAGGGTATTATTGATGCACGTAATTCAATTATAAAGGAAACGAAGTATTTAAACTTGAGTTTTCCCACAAAATTAGGGTCAATTCACAATATACAGAGACTTCTCTCTTAATTTTGCCACCTTTTTGCAAGAAGTTGACTTATTTGCTGCTACAAAATTTTTCCTCACTTTAGAGTCACATACTCTCACTCAAATTAATACAAGTGTACTTACATTTCTGTAATGCTGACAACTAGGTTTTCAGGATTTAATTTTTGTACTCCTCTGTTCCTAATGTTTCTGATTACAAACAGGGAAAAAAATTATATCATCACAAACTCAGATCCTATCAATCAAGGTCGTAGGATCTATCTATCATTGAGTGAAAATGATCCATGGGTAATACAAATATTTCATATAGGAATTCAACTGAATTTAGTGTAGTTTGGTCTGAAATCATACACATGATTTCAAAATTGAACAAGTACACAGCTCAATATGATAATACTGTAAGCTGTTAAAAACCAGCAGGTTACTATCAACTAAGCACTTTGTGAGTTTTCCCAAAACCAAGGAGATGCTGTACATGTCTCACATATAAATGTAATTAGTATATACTAAAACAGTGGATAGCGTTGAAGGCGCGCTCTGATTGGCTAGTCAAACTCCGAATATCCTTTGCTATTTACCTCCGAGCAACTCGGGAAAAAATGGCATCCCAGTTTGCATCCGTGACAAGCAAAGAAATCACTCAAATTAACGACGAAGCAGTGTATATTATCTCACCGTTTTAGTATATACTAAAACAACTATTCACCTCAGTGTCGGTGGTTAGCAGTGGATATTTACCTCGCCGCTTCGTGGCTCGGTAAATACCCACCACAAACCACCTCCACTTTGGTGAATAGTTGTTAACTGTCACTGTAGAAGACATGCCTTGTGCAGGCAGAGAGTTCACTCAGTTGATGGCCAATGGTTTCAAAGCCAATACATCAAGCCTTTGGCATGCTTAGTATAATACTAGCAAAAGTGGGAGTTCACTTCAAACAGCAAAGTAACTGATGGAAAGAGCAGCATACTAGAAAAAGATATTGCTGATACTCAGTTAGATACTCAATTATCACTGGAGATGCTGATTACCACATACATCTAACTTCAAATTCTCTATAGGAAATTTGCCTGTATAAAGGTTTTTTCCAAGTTTTTGAAGCCTTCTGGAGTTGGATACCCCCGACTTTTGAGAAGGTCAGGCATTAGTTACATTGTAGTAGTGTACAGTAATGACTTAGTAGATAAGCTAACAGTCTTTCCATCAAATAATTATGACTTAGTAGATAAGCTGACAGTCTTTCCACCAAATAGTCCCTTTTAGCGTACAAACCTGTGTTTAACTAACAAGGACAAAAATACATTATCTGATCATGGGGTGAAAACAGAACATAGTCCCAAACCTAGGTGGGTGAATTCACAGCAAGGTTTAACAAGAGCAAAAATGGCAAGGCAGCCTCAATCAGGCATTGTATAAATTGATATATCCAATGATAGTCAACTTTGGAGTTGAGGGTAAATTGATGGTCATTTGCTACTTGAATGAATAAGACACTCAGTATCTTGATGCCCTGATGTCCTGACAGTTGACACCTCAAGTGAGACAACTTTCACCAACTTGCTAATTGATGATCACCTATCATTACTTTCTATAGATTTACCAAATACTTTCAAGCATTGGCCAAGTATTGACCTTCTATGTCCAATATATCTATCAATTGCAGGAGATTTCATCTAAGGCTACCCCATATGATGCATACATCCATAAAGTTCAGTCTTTGTCACTGCTATGTATAATCAGGCATTCCATTGATTTATGGTCACTATGACAACCGAGGTTGTCTCCATAGACAAAATAAATATTAGAGTTCGGTTACCACTCCATCAAGCCTGGGTAAAATTTAAGCATGAACAAGGACACATCAGGCTTGACTGCCAGAAAGCAACTGCAACTTGCAGGTACTGCATAACCCTCACCCCCACAACCACCCCCACCTTAACGGACTGTAGCACTAACAACCATGCATACCACTTGCTATTTCCCTAGAAACCTGTTATAACTAAAACTCAGCAGGGCTCCTGTAGACTCTGACTGTGAAGCATGAGTTATTTTGGGAGGCAATTGGTTAATATTTCTAAATCCTTAGTATTCAGTCCAATTGAGATTGTGCCTGGCTGTCAGAAATATTAAGTTTAAACTGCATCCTACAAAAACCTTATGAGAGTGTTCAATGTTTGTATAGAAATGCCAAGCAATTAAAAAATCACAATGCTTTTTTTACCATTTGACCGCTAAGAAAGATTAGCATGTACTTTATCCTCAGAATATCACCCCAAATCACTTATCAAGGTCATAAGAATGATTATGAAATGATCATCAACCAAAGAAACATTTGATTAGCGAGCAAATTCTCTCTTTCAGCACTTTAGAAAATGCATGTAACAGTGTGGAGAATACGCATATCGATGCTAAGGCATTAAGGGGTAAGTGGACGAATTTTCCGAGCTTGTGCATTCTTAAAATCAGTAGTTCAGAGAAGTTAGCAATTTAAAGGTATGCACGAGCACAGAAAATTCGTCCACTAAAGGCCGATATAAGTTTTTGAATCGCGTGACATTTTTCAACAAACATCTGAGTTGGAAAAAACCTCTCAGAATTTCTTACTGTCAATCCTTGGTCCTTTTGAGACCGATTGCCGGACATTTTAACACACCCTTTCAGTCGTACAGATTTAGACCATTCAACATATCGATCATCAGAATTTGTAATATGTTTTTTTTCTCTCCCCAGATAAAGTTTATTGAAGACCGCCCACCACTTCTATTACCAATAACAATCATGGCCCTTTCTACAGGGATTATAAAATAAATTAATTCTGAAGCATATAAAAAGTGCATCTCGTCAAAATCGTACGAATAAGTAAATCTTTTTCATCTCTTATTTATGCGTTGCTCTTTCCAATTTGATCAAAGCATTTTACATAATTATATGGCTCTGACGAATGTGTCCGTTGAAGAAACAATAAAAGAACCGCAAACTAAATAATCCAGGTATTAAGCACAAAACGATAAATAACAAGAATGAGCAATATCAAGCTTTAAACAAGAAACTCACACGGTCGGACCAGTGCAAGTGGCTTCTTGCAATTGGTTGCTGCAGGAACAACCTCCGCAACTGCTTCCGCTCGTCTCAGAGTAGGCACGATTGTACATTCTTCTTCCGTCATTATTATTATTCCAGAAACCTTCCCAATCTGTATGGCCTAAGAAATAACGATTGTTCCAGTAGTTAACACCAAGAAAGTTCTGACTGCCGTGGCTCGGTACGGTTTGAGCTTGTTTCGCAAGAATCAAAAGTAGACAGCAAATCAACCCAGTTCGCCAATTTTTAACGCTATGATAGCGAGCCATTTACAGACAATCCAAGAGATATCAGCTGGGATCTTGATGACTTGATGGATTCCAATAATATCCAATTTAGAATTATTTTAGCGGCAAGATTCTTTCGTTGCTACAGTCAACTGGAATACGTCGTCACGTCGATGAGATTTCAATCAACGGTACTCTCGAACTTTTTCTTCTTATTTCCCGCCAACAATAAAGCCAGAAGGTCGTTCTATGCTTTCGGCCTATAATATTTGTTGTTTCAGGCGTCCAAAAAGAGAAATTGGAAGTTTCTACTAGAAGTGTGTCGCTCGAAGTTATAATTCTTCATATCATCCGTTTACATTTATAAATATTCAACAAAAAATATGCTAATTTCACAGAAATACATCTCAAGTACGACTCTTCTTATTATGAACTTTTTGTATCAACTGTGATCTTAATGAATGGATAGATTGCAGTGAGACCCAATTTGCATTTTTAAAGCAGCAGGATTCTCTAGTTGCTAAAACCAACGGGAATACGTCGTCACGTCGATG